TGGCAGAATTTTTCTAATTTGTGCTTCGAAATGTTAGAAGTGTCATTTGTATTATATTTCCCCTGTCAGCTAATGAGTAATTAGCATTTGTATGTATATAAAGAAAGTAGTCAAAAGCTCATCTTTCCCCAACATCCTGTAAAGTTAAAGTATTCCTATTCTCCAGAATCCATTCCTATTCTCCAGAATCCATACAAAGCAAATTTATTGACCTGCAACGTAACTGTCAAATAAAATAACCAATACACAACCAAAAATATCACTTAACATGAAACCCAAGAAGGATATTTGAAGACATTTGAAGCATTTGTTACCATGAAACCAGTTAAAACCTGTATATGTGATGTTTGGATGTATTTTGTTTTTAATATGATTGCAACTGACTAGGTTTAATTTACAAGGAAACGCCAAAAAAGTTGCCATTTTATCAGTACAATGTTATTGCCTGATGTCTCAATAACTTAAAATTTTAACTTAATTTGATTAAGTTTGTACTTAGCTCCATGGCTATGAATTGCAGCTCTCGTAGCATAATTAATTACCTAGATATCCGGATACATTTCGTGATTATATAACCATGTAGGTTAGCCAGTTTTATTACAACTAATTATGCTAGGATTGTAACTGGTTGAGCATATATGTAAATATATAAATACATCTTGTGCAGGTTAATACGTTTGAAACGTGTTTATTGTGATTATAATATGTGTATTACGGTATAGGCATTGAGCATTCAGAGAGTGTTAGTAGGCCTGCTATAACTGATAAATGATAAACATAGCCATAAAACATTTAGAGAATGCCACGACGTATAACTACGCGTAACACGATTTATATGAGCATTACGGCAAATTGCGAGCATTAATTGTGAAATTATCGTTGATTTTTGGATTACATTGGAGGAAGGTCCAGAGGTCTAGCGCTGTCCGAGATCTCTGGTGGGCGGAGGCCGAATCAGATTGTGTGTCGGGCAGAAAGGCAGCAATCATTTCATTACGGCAGCATTAGTGCGGCATACAATTCAATCACTGCACTGTTTCCCCCCTTCATCTCTTTTCTTTCTTCTGTGGAAATATCGTTCGGACGTAAGCTTTCTCTCTTTTAAAAACACCAAGACTAGGAAAACGCCCTCTTAAGCATTTCGTATCGTCCCCAGATTTCTTTACTTGTTTTGTTTTCCTATACCGATGACATTTAGGGGGCTATCAGCCGTCGGACACTGTAAAAACATCGCGGCGCCTTTATGTGAAAGACAGTCCAGAGAGCGCTGGGGCTCTAACAGACTGGGGTATCTTTTGGTTGCTTCCGCCCCGACATCACTGTCTCTTGTACAAGAAAAAGTAGGTCTACATAAAAAAAACCCGGACCGATAAAAAGCAGTAGCTTACATTACTGTACTCATCCTTCAACAGCAGAACAAGGCAAAAGACCCAAAATCTAACCTTAAGAGAAGGTTGAGCCCTAAATTTACTTTAATACCAGTGAAAAGTACAGTATTACAATTAATTACAATTTTCAAATGCATAGAGGTTTAGCTACAGGCCAAGTATACAAGTCCGTCGTTTTTAACTAGTGAGACAGTTAAGAGTAATTCATGGGATATAATTAAGAGCATTTATGAAATAAACGCGGACAAAACGTATTGCAGGGCCAAATTGTAAAAACAATAAAAATTAAGAATTTTGGAAAACAAAGCTATGCTAAAACGAGTATTTAAATAAAGATTTTTCATGTTCGATATTTAACTTTTAAGAAAATGTGAAATAAAAGGCACATGCATAGTATTTTAAACACTGGATCCAGAATCCTGAAACACTGTAGGTACCACATTGTCTGAAACGGCACATTAATCCCTAGAAGCGATCTGTAGATCGACAGTAATAAATAGTTCATGACGTATGTTAACACCGTAGTTACCGCTTCTATATTTTTTCCATGTAAATGAGCAGTTAATGTACAATTAATAATTAAGTTTCGGCTTTATTATAAACATCGATAAAATATGTTCCTCAGAGTTTAGTAGGAGATAAAATTAAGAAATTTCAGTTATCACATTTCAAGTAAATCGAATCCGCAGTAGAAAAATGCATCAGGTCCTTGGACAAATGTCTGTGAAATTTGCCATTTTAGGCAGTTCTTGGAGAATGACATAAAGCAACAATAATAATAATCGTCGCCGTCATCATCAGTCCTCCAGAATTTCTCTTATCTTTATATTATTTTTATATGGGCTATTTCTAGTTATTATTATTATTATTATTATTATTATTATTTGTGATTATTTGTCATTGTTGACACACCACAGCACACACGCAGTTAAAAGATACTATTAACTTAAAATATTAATTTGATGACAACCAGATTTATAAATGTGGTACTTACTGTTCTGTCATTTTCAATAAAGTAATGGTTTGTGTTTTGTTGGTTTGTTCTGCTGTTTTTCACATGTATTCGTAGCAGCTGTATTATTTATTATTAAAAAAATACTGAGCAAAATACACGTAGATATTAGTTACCATGATGAAACATCTTTAATCGTGCCTTTATGTCCAGGCCGAACCATCTTTCAATGATGGCAGGTTGTTTGCTCCCAATTAAAGTAATTAAAATGAAGCGGAGCAAATGGTAAAATCACTTCAAATGAGCACAATTATTATCCCATATAGGCTATACAGGAGGTCAAAACGTAAAGCATGTCGGGGGTGATATTTCATAATGAAATGTACTCGTGCTTGTGTAGGTTAATTTGGATTTAAGTGAGCAAAAGACCCCACATAAAGAATTAAATCTATGGATGTCTAAGGCGATAAACACGTAAGCCTATGCCTACTACGGCTCAAACGTTACAGAGAAGAATTCGTTACTTTTAAGAACTTTATGGCGAGCATCTGCCTCCGTCTAAAGACTGCATGGTGTTAGATCTGGGGGAATCAATGGTGTAAATTATAGAAATGGTCTGTTATTAATGATGGTATTAATTAATCTTATATTTAATTTTTAGAATTTAATCTTGTATTAGTTTTTGGATTTACGCGTATTTTCCTCACATATACGGGCCTAACTGTCGTAAAGTTTCAAACAGCTGCGTGGACACCGGATTTGGTAATAACATAGCATGCAAAAATGGGATATGGAACTTACCTTTTTCCACGCTTTATGTTAAGTTTTGCGCACGAAAAGCACAGTTTTATGTATTTCCATGCATAGTCCGTGTTTTTAAAACGCTCTCGCGTCACTGATTATTCCATTGTAAAATAAAAGGCCATTACTGAAGTTATTCACTGAATCACAGAAACGCAAAGCAAAACGAATTATTAAATAAATAGACAACATTGCACAACATTCTTTTAAACTTAAAACAGGGTGAACTGCGGCTGCTGTGCCTTGTATTATCGAAATCAATGAAATTTAATTTCGCTGGGAAACATCCTCTTGTGTTTGTCATATGCGGTTATTATTGGTTCCAGGTTATCGAATATTACGGGCCTAACTCGCGTGAATTACAAGCTGCCAAACTATTCTGTTGACAATGACCTCCGTTTCAGGGTTTGCTGTATCTTTAAGAAGTGCATTCAGCCGCAAGAACAGTAGCCCCCAATGTGTGAATAATTTTCAGTAAGGAGTTACACTAAGTGGCAAAGCTTTTAGCACATTATCCACCGGCAATTGAAAGGTAATCTAATTTGTCAACCCAGGTCTCTTATTATATATCTGCAGCACGGGATTTGCATTTCGAAGTCACCTAATAGGTTTAAAAAGCTGTAGATCTCGGGTTCTTGTTTATATAAGCGTCCATTTCTCTGGCTGAGTGACATTGAGGCTGAAAGGTGATTCGTTGCCCGAGAAACCACGGTGTCAGCGCTTTGAAAATATATATTTATATACATAAGACGAGCGGCAGTCAGTGCGACAAGGTGGGAACCGTGCTTTCTGAAATTGGATTCATAGGCGAGCTCGGCTGCTATAAATCGCGAAGGACCGAACAAACGAGACACACGTACATGTTTAAGGTTTTAAAATTAAAACAAATCAACGAAATAAAAGTATATATTAAAATGTGCCGTAGTTTTAACGTGGACGTTACGTTTCCTTTACACTGACCAACCCTCCTAATTGCATTGTTGTTGTTATTTTTATTATTATTATTATTATTATTATGCAGTGAGCAATCTTGTTTTGCAACCAAGTTTATTTAAATACATTACACACAATATCAATGGACTCTTCCTTGCGCGGCATTGACGTTATTTGTACGCACACTTGCACGTCCCCGAGTTTGCAGACTGTGGGGTCCAAGAAAATAAATTAGTGAAACACGTCGAACTGATATGACGTCTAGAAGGATTTGTGTCGTTATCGAAGGATGAAATGGTAACGGGGATCTGATGACAAAAAATATACGCCTACCCGTTTCTCCACGTTTAATGGGTACGATATTAAATTAAGTATTACCTTAAATTGCGTTTATTATTGCTACTATTTCTGTTGCGAGTATCGTTGTCGTTAAGGACCAGTAACAGTAACAGTAACAGTCATTTTTGTTCTAGGCTACTCCGTTACGCGGTTACGTTGTCCGGCACCGAACCCTTACAGAACCCACCCTAAAAGTAATAAATAACGTGTTATTGAAGCCGATCACGGCATTGGGCCACAAATTCAAATTGACGGATAATAATAATAATAATAATAATAATATACTAACAATAATATAATAACAACACCAACAACAACAATAATAATAATAATAATGATAATAATAATAATAATAATAATAATAATAATATCACGGATAAAAGTTTATCTCGATGCTTATATTAATTATGTGTCATTAACCCCTGTCTGTGTCTCGTCATACTTATTAATATCAACCAACGGTCAACACCATGGCATATTCTGACGGACTTTGTGCTCAAAATGCGTTTTTTTTTACCATATAAAATATTTTAAAATGTAGTCTACATAGTTTTTGTAAATTATTATTGTTTTTTTTTTACACAGACGAGTCCTGCCACTATACCACGGGCGGGTTGACGATCCCTGCTCGTAACTGTCATTGGTACAGCATCAAATGTCTCTCAGATCATTGATTCATAGTAATACTAAGGTATTTTAATAAATGAATAATGCTTAATACACATTATGCGCACGTCCTTGATTTGTGCCTTGTTTCACGCGGGGAAAATTGCTGCAATAGCCCGAAAAGATATCATTTTAAGTTGATATTTTGAACATTGTTCCACCATAATTAACGCAGAGCAAAAAATAACATAAAGGCATGAACAGCCTGGCCATTCTATAATACTAGCATGTACAAATTAGCTTTATCATTCTAAGTTAAACCACTCAAAGTGAGTAATAGTTATTTGTTATCAGTGTTGCGTAAAAGGTCCAATCAGAGTCCCCTCAGGCTTTGCCTAATTGTTGAAATTGGACTGAAAGCTGTTTTTAATAGGCTCTTTGCCTGCTATTTAGTTCACAGGACGGCATAACGATGACGTCGAGCGCAGCACGCCGATTGGCTACCGCCGATAGCGATCGAGGGAGAACCGAAATTAAGGAGAGCGCAAGTGTCCGGTCATTGCAATGTTAAAGATCCCAACAAACTGGACGCGTTGACGAGGAAACGTTTCGCGCTATGATCTCGCCCTGCCGCATAGGTCAGCTTTAAAGGGCTCTGAAAGACTTTACCTTTGTGTCAGCTTTGTTTCGGTTTTTAACAAGGGGAGCTCGAGTTGGCACGCCGAACTCTCGGCACCCTAGAGCATCTTTGGTGAGAAGCTGCTTGGCAAATACACAACTTTCTCCGGCGACTGCAGCGAGCCGTCCCGCCATGGAGTACACGTCTGCGACCAAACCTCAGCTTTCCTCCAGGGCCAATGCCTTCTCTATCGCCGCTCTTATGTCAAGTGGGAAAACTAAGGACAAGGACGCGGAGGAAAACACTATCAAACCTTTGGGTGAGTTGTCTTAAGACTCCTGCGTTTCTCTTTGTGGGCAAAGATAATCACCGAATGAAAATTACAAGTTAAAATGTGTTAGCGGAATCAATTTAAGCTTCACCACTTAGACAAATAAAATAATTCTATGTTTAATTTATATGAAGATTTTACACTTTATTTCCTATCTAAGTGGGCATGGTAAATAGCACTGCTTAAGGAGAGGCAGATTTCTTCTTTTGATACACTCGTCGCTTTAAAGCGCACCGTAATTTCAGTTTCACTTTATTGTCGGTGATTTTAATAAATTCATTTAATGTACCCTATTAATTATCCTATTAACCAAAAATAAAACAAATTCTAAAAAAGTGTACATGGATAAAAAAATAACTGGTTATTCACATATGGAAAGCAAAACAATATCGGCTTTCGAAGCGCACATGTAATTTGTCTATTTGCACGAATTGCTTTTGTCTCTGCCCTAAATTACCCACCGGGTCTCTTTGGGTCGCCCTGGTGAAGCGGGCCGCTCCTGCTGTCATTTGAAACATTCAGCGAGGGCTGTAGGCGCCAAGCTATGAAAACGAATGGGGCTCCTTTTCTAAAAACAAACATGTAATCGTCGTGTTTCTTGGACGTTGTCGTATGAAATATTGGTGCTTTCAGGTGCAGAAAAAAATAAGGTTGCGACCTTGTAGATAGAGGCTTTCTGAAAATGACAACACCCGGGGGAAAAACAGAAAAACCTTCTTTAGAGAACGTGGCATAGACCTATACAGTGTGAGAACAAAACAAGCACAATTTATTTTTACCCTTTGCAAACATGCATATTAAAATCAAGAGGTATAAAGTTTGAATTTATATTTGATTTAAAGCCCAACGATATCATCAACTTGCAGACCAAGCGCACATTTTAACGAAGAAAAACTGGAAGGGAATTAGCACGAATGATTTCGGACATCAAGGCAAATATCCACGTTAATGTCATCGGTGTCATGGCCTAAAGTATACGATGAACGTGTTATGACGGCCATGGTCTCAAACAGTTGCCTTTGAAGTGGAGCAGTGATTATTGAGAATTAGTTTACAGGGTACGCTGTGCATCTTAAGCCAGCAAAACTTATCGTAATTGGCTCGGTTTTGTAGGCTTAACTAGTGATGCTGCATTTTCCGTATACTGTAGTCTGTTAATTATAAATCTTAATGAATTTCCGCTGGTCGATTGTAATGAGAAATCTCTTTGGTTTCAAAAAGAGATTGTACTCAATTTATCACAAGCAAAATTCAACAAATGTTAAAAATAAGCTGTACCACAAAAAGCAACAATTACCCTACTACTATCAATAGGGCCTAATAATAATAATAATAATAATAATAATAATAATAATAATAATAATAATAATCATCATCGTAATAATATAATCATAATGATAGTAATCATAACTGTACTAACAATATTAATAAGAAATTAACTAGCAAATTATGTATTTTTAGAAATATCTATGGAATTTTAGCTCTTAGGGTACATAAAAATCATATATCATATTTTATCAGAAAAGTGTATTGTGAAAGGAAGGTGATAAATGTTGTAACATTCTTTCAGAGCAATTCGTAGAGAAGTCGTCCTGCAGTCAGTCTGTGGGGGACCTGTCCGCCCTGGAGGCGGCCGGAGAGTTCGGCGGCAGTTCGCCCGTGATCTGCACGGAACCGCTCATCCCCACCACGCCGAACGTCCCCAGTGAGGAGATGGCGAAGATTTCCTGCAGCCTGGAGACCAAGGAGCTTTGGGACAAGTTCCACGATCTCGGCACAGAAATGATCATCACTAAATCTGGAAGGTAGGCTATTTTAGTACAGGGAAAACGAAATCTTAATTAAGTTGTTTGGTCTTTTAAAAAAAACCATTAATACAGAATGCCACGTAAAATGTAAGCTTTTCATACCATGCGATTTGTCTCTTTATTAAATCTTTGTCCTTGTGGAACAAATTGTGATTACAAATGTTCGGTCTATTACTTGCATTAAATATTTTCGCAAATTAAAAATATTTTTCTGATTGAATGAAATATTTCACCCAGGCCTACTTGTTTTCGAATTGTCTAAACCTGTCGTTTAAAATGGCTGTGATATTATAAGATTTTTTTAAAGCATTGACATTTTAAAATGCATTTTACATATATAACTATTTGTACAGATTATTTAAAAATATATATATATTTTTCTCCTGATAATCTTAACCGCTAGCTTACTGTTTATAACTATAGATTGTGCGTAACTGTAGATGTTTATTGCAATTGCATTCTGTTGCAATTATATTATGATGCACTTGAGGACAAATTTCTATTTTATGCAAACATTGCGGAGGTATTGCTTTTTATATGTTGTAAGTGTAGTGTTACTGCAATAGGATTAAATTGAAAAGAACATATTATTGATAAATTACTAAGGAATGGAAGTTGGAAATTTAGAATTTCCAACTATTCAATTAACCAATTATTTTTTCTTTTTCGAAATAAATGAGTTATCTTTAGAAGTGTATATGGCTTAGTGATTGAAGCCCGTAATAGGCCTAGCAAGTTACCGTTCCTGGTTCTTTGCTTTGCGGTGGTGATCACAATATCACAGAGAGAAAATCTTCCAGATGTTTTCTTCTCACACGGTTTTTCCGTTTTTTTTTTCCAACAGAAGAATGTTCCCAACCATCAGAGTATCCTTCTCTGGAGTGGAGCCGGACGCCAAATACATAGTGCTGATGGACATTGTACCCGTGGACAATAAGAGATACCGATATGCCTACCACAGGTCGTCGTGGCTCGTGGCGGGGAAAGCGGACCCACCGCTGCCGGCAAGGTGCGTACTTATTAAGAAACATTTTTTATTTTATCTGCGTTGTTGAATTTCCACAGTTTAGTCTCTTACATTGCTGATAAATGGCGGCGAATGACGTATTTTGTTTCCTGTTTCGTTGACGCAGTTAATTTGGATCCTCGACCCAAATAATGATAATGTTGCGTTTAATGTGAATCCAACGGCTGATAACAACCGACGCTGTTATCGCCAGTTATTAGACTGCGGTCAGTTTATATCTTGGGTGGAATTTGCAAAATGGGCCACAGACCTACATGCTTCCCCCACATAATGTAAACCAAAATCCAAAACGATGACAAAACGTGCAATTTTGAATATAGTCGGCATTTAGTTTTGGGATCACGGTCTAAGGGGCCTGAGGATAAGGCCTTACTCTTAAAAATATTTAATATATATTTTTCTAGATCTTAAAAAACAAATATATAGTTGTGGGATTTGTCTGCCATATAAGTGGTCCCTAAAGTAAAGCTTGTATCGAAAGGAGAGCCGGCGACTATTTCTTAAATTGATTAACAGTAATTTTGTTTCGCATTTGATTTTCTAAGGTGACCAGGCTCATAAGCCCACGCGAATTAAAGGCACACGCAGTTGTTTTCACACGTCAATTAGCCCAGTGTTTCTTTCTTTCTTTTAGATTGTATGTGCATCCCGACTCCCCATTCACCGGCGAGCAGCTACTGAAGCAAATGATCTCCTTCGAGAAGGTCAAACTGACCAACAACGAGCTGGACCAGCACGGCCACGTACGTCTTTTATTTCCTTAGCGTTTCATTGCAGGTACAGAAACGGAAGACGAGGAAAAACTGAAGCGCAATGCTGACAGGAAAACGATGCAGTTGAAACACATTCTAAATTTAAATACTTAAAAAAATTGCTTGGTAATGGTGAAGAGTCAATAAAAAAATAGCTAAATTTGTATTTTACTGTAATACATAATTCTACCGCATACTTTAGAAATTTCTCAGATCATTTCAAAGGTCTGAAGCTTACCAGCTTTTTTATTGTTTTATAACGTTTAATGTTTTTATCATCTGAAATATGTTTATGTAATCTCTATGTGTTCCCTAAACCGTAACATTTGCATTTTATGTGATCATGTCAGTCATTTTTCAATGTTGCTTTTGGAAGTTGAGTATTCTTTTGTCTAATTGCTTTTATTTCTTTGTCTAATAATTACATATAATGTATGTGTTTGAAATAAGGTGTATGTGGTCCGTTAGCCCATTGTCATTTTCCTTCCTGGGCCGTTACACGTTTGGGCCATTTCATATTTCATATTCTATTTGGGGAGGTTGCTAACGTTTCCAACCCTTAAACACTGGTAGTTCTTACTGGCTGGATTCAAAATTATATAAGGTCATGTGTTTGGGAGCAGGGAAGCTGTCCGTACAAACGTGTCTGTAACAAGACTGTGTTTGTTGTACAGTGTTTTGATTGAGAAAAAAAATAAATAAATTGAGCAGGCTACATTTTTAAATAGACCTGCCCTGTCCATGATAAAAATTGCATTTTGATTAAAACGTCCATCAGAATTTGCTATATAGTTGACTTCTTTTTGAGGAGAATAACAGTGACTATTATGTTATGCTTTCACTAGAGCCATTATAGGTCTTATGCTAAAAAGTGACATTGATAAAAGTGTTAAAGGTCTCTTAATTTCCTCTCATCCATTTTCTGTACCTGCTTGTCTTATTCAGGGTCACAGGGGTCTGCTGATTTGGTTCCCATAATTTTAAACATGAAAACATATATTTAGTTCATGAAACATAACACTTTCGAATTTGATTCCCATAATTTTAAATAAGAAAACATGTCTTTAGGTCATGCACAGTGACATTTTTTATTTGGAATGATAAGAGAAAATAAAAAAAATCTTCCTTTATGCTTGACCTACCCTTAGGTTTTGGCTGAGTCGACCATCTCAGATGGGGGTTTTTCAAATGGCCAGGCAGGACACGGAAGTGAGGTCCAACCAAGCACAGGGAGGGGGTGTCGGACCATCCTGCTAACCCCAGTCTTCTCTCCACAGATCATTCTCAACTCCATGCACAAGTACCAGCCCAGAGTGCATATCATTAAGAAGAAGGAACACACTGCCTCACTGCTCAACCTGAAATCCGAGGAGTTCCGCACCTTCGTGTTCACGGAGACCGTCTTCACTGCAGTTACTGCCTACCAAAACCAGCTTGTAAGTGACACCAAGCAGATCCCAAATGAGATTTATAGTTATGGGTATTGACTGATAGATGGGTATTTAACAAATAATCATTCAAAAATATGTCAGAATAATATTAATATATACACATGATTTTTGGTAGTCAGCTTAGTTAGTTTGCCATGGAATTTTTAAAAATTGTACAGTTATGCTGCAAATAGGTGTGAATAACTTGTGCATAACTTCTCGATGACGTCGATGACGGTGGGTCTTGAACTGGACGCGCCACTGGCTGTATTGCAGATCACCAAGCTGAAAATCGATAGCAACCCCTTTGCTAAAGGCTTCAGAGACTCCTCCAGGTTGACCGACATTGAAAGGTATCTCCCATAATGCTTTGCTTTGTTCATTTCTGTCCCGCAACAGATGGGACAGACGCTGTCTTGAGAAAGAGCTTCTTGGCAGCACAGGGCTTCTTGAATATATTTTGGAAGAGCCTGTTTGCCTGTTATTTGTTTCTAATTGGGATACTAATCAGAGGGACTAGTGTTGAGACTCGTAGACTGTTAGAGACTTAACATTTACTGTACATATCATAGTGAAAACTGAGAATTTTATATACTTACAGTGTCTATAGAGACAGTCCTTTTGCAAATGTTTTTCCCTTCTAAAACACAAATCCACCACCTGCCAACAAGAATTAATGTTACGGTCAAAATATCCAAATTATAGTGCTTTTTCCATTAACCGAAACACATAGTCATTATCCTTTTAAAAGTTTTTTTTTTCTCATTTTTAAAACACCAAAAATTTAAGCAAACAAACACACATGCACACCAGTCATCTCGAAACTGGTGTTTTGGCCCAGTTCTTTAAATTAGCGGCTTTGATTAAACCACACCATCCCTCTTGACACCGAAATCCAAATCCAGCCCGCTAAACGAAACCAAACACTAAGTCCTTCTCTTAAGGGGTTACGAATTAGATCTGATCAATTGATCTTTAGAGACCTGCAGAAATCGCATTAGGCTGGAGTCGGTTACTGCACTAAAACATGATGTAATTCAATTGGTCTGAGTAACTGATTGAAAACAGTATGCCTCTATTTGCCATGCAGAGAGGTCCTTCCAGGGATCAGATCGGAGATAAACACACACATATTCATATTGCATGCTGACAGATATTGCACTTTGCTAACCTGATTGCGAAGCTAATGTGAATCTATGTCTTTGATGGTACAGAACCACGAGGCCTAGGAAAATTACAGGCGGGGGGGCATCTGTGGGGGTGGAGCTGATGCAGTTACTTGAGGGGAGGTTGGGGCTTGCTGTCATGCACACCACATGTGGGTGGGGCCTATGAACGGATGAGGCCAGACACCTGTGTGGAGCATCTAATGAAAATTCTGCTGAGTCTCTGCTGAAACAGAATTAGCTGAAGATGGCAGCTTCATTCAAGCCATTAGTGGCCGCTTCAGAGTTCAGTCGCAGCCCTTATCTGATAAGCTCTATTAAAATATGCACTTTTATTGAAAGGGTAAAATTGTAAATTTAGTTTCAGATGAATGTGTCTACCAGTTGCAGTGAAAGTGCTATATTTGTATTTATACTTATTATTATGTATTTATTAGGGCTGTCAAAATTAACGGGTTTACGTGGATTAATCCATCATCATGATTAATCTGATAAAAAAAATTTAACGCAATTAACCCATCTGCAGCGGAGAATGACTCAAAATCCCTGAAATGTCTCTGTCAACCCATTTCGGGCAGTTTTGGTGCGTTCCATTTGCCCTCGGAACTCGTATTCCGAGTCGGATTCTGAGTTTTGAAGCCGGAAAGTGACGGCATGCGTGCTCCCGTTTCTCGGAGATCCCAGAAATATCTCGGAGCAGCACAGAGGATCCCGAGTTCAGAATCCAAGATGGCTGCACCTTTTATCAACAGAAGGGAAAGTTGTAGATTTATACTGTTTAAGCACTACTTCTCATTTGTGGCTCATTAAATCGGTTGCACACACTATACCGTCCAACTTATCTGTGGACGTGTTGCTGTGGAGTTTTATACGTAAAGCACCGCGTGTAATGTGTTATCAAGTGGTATTGCTAACAATGGCAATTAATCAGGCTAGAATTGGATTTCATGATTAGTCGGATTATTTGTCGGATTTACGGTAGTTCGGGCTAAGTGAACGAAGATAAAGACCATTTAAACTGAGGTACCTTAAATCCGACAAGTTGTCCGGCTAAGCAAAAAATCTTGCTTTTTGATGGGTCCATGGTATTGCACTTCTGTGGCAGATGGAATGCATCCGACTCGTGTTAAAGATGTGAAGTGCATATATATTCCCTTTTTTCTTGAGTCTGGTTGCTCATGCAAAATGAAATGTGATTAATATAGATTAAAAATTAATGATATTTAATCGAAATTAATCCACAGCAACCCTATGATTAATCTGATTTAAAAATGTAATCGTTTGACAGCACTAGTATTTATACTTACTTATTTTTTTTCCCAAACTTATTAGGGGATTAACTCAAACAGCTATGAGGACCTTGCATATTTAGTCTTGATAGATACGCTCTATCATGCATTTTCTGCTATTTAGTTTTATGTGTTTCTGTTTTTTTTAATTTTGGCTGTTGTGCTACCTGTATATTCACAGAAGATGTGTTTAACTTTCTGTTGTAGGGAAAGTGTTGAGAGTTTGATCCACAAGCACTCATACGCACGGTCGCCCATCCGGACGTATACCGGGGAAGAGGAAGGCCTTGGGGAAGATGGACACGCCACGCACAGTCGGGGTAAGAAACAGCGCCACACTGTGGCGAGTGCAGGCACTGAAGGGTGTTGGTGACACTGAAGGGACAGACAGTAAATTAGGCTTGAATAAAATGCTATATTTTTCCTATTAATTCTGAATGTTCTTTCCATCAGCAGTAATCTCACCCAGTCTATTATTCTCTTTCCCCCCCCACCTCCATTTTTACCCCTCCTTCCATCCTGGCTCCGTCTCTCAGGCTCCGCCTTCACAGCCTCAGATAACCTGTCGCTAAGCTCCTGGGTGACAACCACCTCCGGCTTCTCCAGCTTCCAGCACCCACAGTCCCTGTCCGCCATTGGGGGCAACACTGCCTCGCTGGCCAGCCCGCTGCCCCACCCCATCCAGGGCTCCTTGCCCCCGTACGGACGGCTGGGCGTGCCCCTCACCCCCTCTGCCCTCAGCAGCATGCCGGGCAGTGGGCCCAGTTTCCCCTCCTTCCACATGCCACGGTACCATCACTATTTTCAGCAGGGGCCCTATGCCGCCATCCAGGGACTGCGGCATTCCTCCACGGTCATGACACCCTTTGTATGACTCCTGCCATCCCCCACAGAGACCAGATCCAGCCCCTACACGATCCAGTATCCAACCCCCATCAACAGGCACCCTCCCTTGCCCTCCTTCTCTATATCTTCGTCAAGTTCCTCCTCAATGTAAATAAGAAACCATGTTAAAGTTCAGTGAACGACCTGGAGCCTCCGGCATAGTCGGCCGCTCTGGAGAAGAATCCAGAAGAATGTGGACTTTCTACGGGTTGGAGATCTGTAGAAAATATTTGTACAAAGACCATAACATAGCATACCTCCCCTTCTCCTTGTTTGGTGAGGATGAGCTCATAGTCCTTTTGCCAAAGTTTTCTGGACAGAGTTTTTGGGACGCAAACTTGTTGAGTATCTCACCAACTGGGGTTGGTGTTTGCTCTGCTTGGCTTACCTCTGTCGTGCATGGAGAAGAGCTACTGGCTAGGAAATGATGACACAAGGAGTATGTCACATGATGTGACTAAGACACACCCACAACGGACATTGGCACACGTGGCACAGTGACCTCAGAGGGACAATCTGCATACTTTGTGGCCAGACTCCACGGAGCCAGGAACAAGCTTACATAAACACAGAACACATATTCTGCAAGGCAGGCAGAGTCCTGCTTAAGGTGTGGAAAAGTTGTGAAAAAATCCTGGGAATGAGAATCAGTATATGTATGTGACAGGCCGACTATCAGAACAAGGCAATACAGTTCAGTGCTCTGACTTTGTGGTTTGGCCTCAACTTTCACCAGAAATTAAATACTTTTTCTAGCTTTTGTTCAGCTTGTTATGTATAGCATGATTTCCATGTCCTGATGTCTTTCAGACAAGCTTAGGCACAAACCACTAACAGGAAGAGTAAGAATTGTTTCCACCCTTTAAATATACCTGGAGCTTCTGTCTGCTTTGGGTGAAACATTCTGCATAGTGATTGCAGCCTCCACCGTCACTGCTAGCGGCTCCAATGACAGCGGAGTCCTGAACATCAGCCCACCCCCACCTTCACACCAGACCAATCACAGTGATGTCAGATTAAAGGGCAACAGAGATACAGTCGAGACATCCCCCCTCAGACAAATTAGGGAAATGGATGTATCGTTCAGATGTTCTCCATTTGTCACTCTCCATTGTCTGTGTTTAAGTAAATACAAGAATATACTGGTAATTTCCCTTTAGGATTTTTTTCTGTTGGAAATATATCAATTTTTGCTTACCTGTATCCTGGACTGTATGAATATTACAGGTAAACCCAGGGTTTGGTGTGTAGTTGGCCATTTTTTGGATGCAGACATCTAGGAAGTGTAGTTTATTTATTGGTGCGTGCTTGTTTGCTTAACAAAATTGGGGCAGCTAGATGGCTCTGCCGTGCTGTTGCTTCACATCTCCAGGGTTAGGGGTTTGAATTCCACCCTCGCTGTGTGTGTGTGTGTCTGTGTGTGTGTGGGCATGTCCTCCACATGTCATGTGGGTTTCCTCACATAGTCCATAGACCTGCAATTAGGCAAATTGGTGACTACATTAACTGTAGTGTGTGCATGAATGTGCCCTGTGATGGACTGGCATCCCATGCAGGATGTACCCCAGCCTCGTGTCCCCCGTGCTGCCTGGGATGGGCTCAAGTTCCCCTGCAACCCAGTTTAGGATAAGCAGTTGGTAGATGAATAGATGACTATATTATACAAAAGATCACTGCCTTAAAAAGTGACTTACAGCATAACACTGAGGACGGAAATGCAAGAAATTACTAATTTATATATTTTGAAAAAAGCTAGTTACTATCCTCCTTGTTTCAGATAATGAAATGGCCAGTGACCAACTCTGAGTGGATTTTACATAATATGGCAGCTCTGTGAGGAGAAGAGGACCTGTATGTTTTTCAGAACAATACATTTGTTTAAGTCTCGAAGCTCCCCATCCAGCCCTACACAATCCGCTAATTTGCTCATAATTTACAATCGCTGTAGCTAGTTTGTGGACAGCATGCCCTGGAACACACCTGTAAAGAACGAGCAACCCTGTCCTCTTCAATGCGTGTAGTGACTCATTGCTGAGTAAGTCCTGTCTCACTGAGAGTAATGTGTCAGAATTCAATAACCAATTCACAGCGAATCCTAAAAGGCGTAATGGACTAATAAGCAAACAAAACGGATTGTGTACATATGGGGAAGGGGCGACAGGCAAGACAGACAAAAATCCCCACTGTACTTTCAGCAGACAGTATTCTACAGATCTACCAGCGTTGCTGTAATGGCTCAGCTATGATCCTGCACAAAAGCCAATACGTTTTGTGTCTTGTTATATCCATTACAAAGAAGGGAAAATAATGTGTTACTTTGCACAACATCTGCCAGGGAACTGACACAAAATTATTCATTAATTGATTGTGACATCAACATTTAAGCAATTTAACCAACCAATTTAACCAAAACAAATAAAATAACTTCAACATAAACATTATCTCAGTGCCTAAAAGAAGAATAGGTGATTGCATTTCAGTCAGGCGTTTTTATTGAATACATCCTAAGAATTGTGGGAACTTAGATTGTGCATTTGGTGAGGGAAAAGAATATGTGCGCACAGTTGTACCAAGAAACATATTTTCGTTTTGGTATATGCCATATAATGTACCCTAAAGAAGAACGTTGTTTGGGTTTTTTGTTGTTGATTTTTAAAAGTGCAATATATTTATTTGTTCTCTCGAAATACGAAGCATTATGTAATATTGTACGCATTTAAGATCAGATATTATTTGTAAGCGATGACAAAAATATATCGATCCCATAAAAAATTGTGTGAGTGTTTTAATGACAAAAGTCATAATGTCTAAAAATACAGTGAATCATATTTTTATTGAATAAATACCGACGGCTACAGAAATCTGTTAACCATTAAGATTCATCTATGGATACCTTTCCACGTGACAGCTCTGAATAACTCAGCAGGCAGGTATTTGCATACTCCAGATCAAGTCTACTTATTACACTAAACATATAATAATATAATACACAGCTGAACAGGTTACCACAGAGTTATATATTATCAAGTTTTATAGAGCAAACTTAATCATTTAAATGCAAGGGCCTATTTATAGGGGAGATGAACAAACCCAAATATATTTAATTTAAGTCAGGGAGTACACATGTCCTGAGTTGCTTTACCGCTAGCTAGTATTTTGTATGTGTGCTTGTGTTATTCACATGCACAAAACATGTTTCCCGGAAGGGACATTTATAATTAGACATACTAAACACACAGCAGAGAAATCACAGTCTATCTCCATGTCGATGCTGAAGGAGTCTAGTCTAGATAGCTGAAGCGTAAAGACAGACGACTTGGAGATTCCGATGCTATGGCTGAGGTGAGGCACCGTAACCAGTCCCATGGAGGACATGCATGTTGTCCGAGCTTTTGAACAGTCAGGAAGCTCCAGGTGGGGTGTAATATCCAGCCCAGCCCACTCACTCCTAACACACTTAACCGATCGCTGTAAGAGATTCCAGTTCCATGTGAAGGGTGTTTAAAATTACAGCTCTACATCACTAGGCATGAGCGTCAAGAAATCAAGTAAATTCTGGGCTATTACGTAGAACTTAATATTTCAATCAACTTCTTGTCTTATTTTTACCAAGAAACACAGTGAAATTCCACAGAACACAGGCACCTCTAGTCATCAGAATCTGACCTTGCTGAATTCAATTTTTTAAACAAACGAACAACTTGAGTATTGAAAATGTAATGGTCTTACTTCTACCTTGGCAGGCTCAATTAATAAATAACCACCACATTATCTAAAAATGTGACACAGAACTTCACTTAGGTTATTAAATGTGAATTATATCTTTTAAATTGCAATTCACCTCAGTTTTGGTCATTAGGGCCATTCAAAACACCATTAAGTTATTCAAGATATAATAGGGTGGAATGTAGCTATTTTTTGTTTGTTTGTCCTCTAACCAGTGAGGCATGAATAACTTAAAACCTGAATCCATAACATTTGGTCCTAAGATTACGTGTTTAAGATTTTGATCGATTGTTGATGTTGACTTACAGTGGTCAGTGGTGGATTGCGATTAAAAATTGCCCTTGGACTTTGGGGTCCCCCACTATAAATTTTTCTAAGCGGGGGGCACAATAAATTTCCCGGCCCACATACCCCTCATCCAACCCAGAAGATGACCAGCCCAGCCCTAGTACTGATCATATTTTAGCTCAAGTTGCTGCAGTAAACACAAAAAGTGCAGGGGTAATTTGAGTCAAGGCTAAGGTAACGATATCCGTGAGCAGCATTTTCAGAGGTGTTCTCTGTTAAGTTGTTTCAGCAGATGCCGGAAAAGGCTTGCTGCCGATAAAAAAGAACAGTTGTGTCCTTTGACAATATATAAATAAAGAAATATCCTCGTGATTTTGATCAGATTATAAAAGGATGAACAGGCTGTACAGTGTCTGTGACTAATGGTCAAAGAAATTGAAATGACAGACCACCAGAATCACTACAGTGTGAGGCCACCAGGTGTAAAATACACAGCGTGTATTTAAACCAATTTAACTCTTATAACACCATGGCATTGCATTATAATATTACATGTATTAATCGCAGCATTTCTGCAAATATTGTGTCGTTCAGTGTGCAAAGTGAACAGACGATTGATAGGACAATCTTCAGGGCAGCAGGCCTACAGGTCGTACGGTACAGTTGGCCCTCCACATTCGGCCTTCCACATCCAGCCTTCCACATCCAGCCCTCCACATCCACAGATTCACCCAACCATGGGCTGACAATAATCGAAAAAAAAATCCAGAAAGTTCCAAAAATGTGATGATTGTTAACACAGTGTGTTGGTGTATATCTGTGTGTGTGAAAGAGCGACCGATGAATGCATATTTTGAGAGAAATAGAGAATAAATTTATATTCTCTACATTTAAAATTATATTTTTTGTATGTATTACGATGTTTATGTCTGTACTGAACATATACAGGGTTTTTTTTCATATAATTATTCCCTAAACAATATAGCATAACTATAGCATAGCAAATACATTGTATTAGGTATTATAAGTATCACAGAGGTGATTTAAAGTATAGGGGAGAGTATACGGTATGGAGGTTATATGCAAATACTAGAGTATCCACGAATTTTAGTATCCATGGTTGGGGGGGGGGGGGGATGGGGGGGGGGCCTGGAAACAATTCCCCAAGGAAAGGGAAGGCCGACTGAATGTGGAAGTGATACAGTGATAACAAATAAATTTAAATGTGTATCTTGATTTCCTTTAGATCAGTTTATCAGAGCCCTGTGATGGACTCCCATTTCAGCCGAGATGTCCCCCCTGCCCTGTACGTCTCTCCTCCCTGGGGTGGGACTCATACTCTGTGCAACCCTGTATTGGATAATGATTGGCAACACTCCATGATGCATCGTTGCAGATTGTGTGCCACAGTTTGGAGCTAGGAATTCTGGGACCGATTCCCATCTAATCATCTGATAATTCCAAGAAAATTTGTATGGGGAACCGGAAGGTTACAAGTTCAAGCTCCAGATGTAACATTCTTAATTGTTTCTTTACTTTTCCAGCAGCATTTTTGTGAAACTGGAAGATACCTACAGTCCATGCATGTCTGTCAAAGGGAAATCAGCGAAAATCCCGCAAATCGAACCATTAATAAAATCGAGTGTCTGATAAAATCCTCTCCTCCAACCCTGACCACCAATGTTATCTTAATCTACTCAGTTACTTAGAGGCCCCATAACAAAATAAAAGTCTAATACTGTCACT